CTAATTCAACTATTCTGTGGAGCAATTTGGAACTATGCCCAAAGGACTATAAAACCATGCATACCCTTTAACCTAGCAGTACCACTAATAGGTCTGTATCCCAAAAAAGATGAAAAACCAAAAGGCAAAGGACCTATATGTACAAAATTATTTATAGCAGCTGTTTTTTGGGGGTAAAGAATCAGAAGTTGAAGGGGTGCCCATTAATTGAGAATGACTGAATAAGTTGTGGTATATGACTATGATGGAATATTATTGTACTATAAGAAATGATGGGCAGGATGCTCTCAGAAAAACCTCTCATGGGCTGATGCAAAGTAAAATGTACTGTGTACAAGGTAACAGCAATATTGTACGATGATCAGTTATGAATGGTTTAGCTATTCTCAGCAATACAATAATCCAAGAGAACTCTGAAAGGCATATGATGAAAAATGCTATCCATCCCTAGAGAAAGAACTGATGGTGTCACAATACAGATTGAAGCATACTTTTTTTTTCACTTTATTTTTCTTGAGGTTCTTTATTTTCTTGTTTATGTTTTCTTTCACAACATGATTATATATATCTTATATCAAATTGCTTGCCTTCTCAATGGGATGGGAGGTAGGGAGGGAGGGAAGGGAGAAAATTTGGAACTCAAAGTTTCAAAAAAGGATTGTATTTATGAATAAATTCTATAACATTCAAAGAATAATTACTTTCAGTATTATTTAAACTTGAATAAAAATAGGAAAAGAAAAGATCCTGCCAAATTCCTTCTTTAATCCAAATATCATCTTAATGTTTCAACCATGGAGAGACAAAATTGTGAAAAAACAACCATTATCTCTAATTAATGTCAATTCAAATATATTAATTAAAATATTAGGTATCTACAACACATCAGAAAAGTTACATACCTTAATAGAGTTATACAGGAACACCAGGTTAGGTCAGTTTTAGGAAATGCTAAACATACTATTCTTTATTAATAACCAAAGTTATTTGAAAAGATTAAATCAATAAATATAGGGAAAAACTTAAAAGAAAACTATTTCTGCTAAGAAAAATTAACATTGGAAGAAATTGGCCTTTTTATTAACATGGTAAAGAGTATGTATCTAAAACCAAGAGCCAACATTACATGTGGAAAAAGTAGAGTCCTTTTCAGTAGGTTCAGGGGGTAAAACAAAGCTGTCTATTATCACTGTTTTTTTTAGTGCTAGAAATTCAAATTAGTGCAATAAAATGAAAAAATAAATCCAAGGAATAATCATAAATGATGAAGAAATGAAATTATGGAAAATTACAATTTTTTGCCGATGATATATTGGTCTACTTAATGATCTTTAGAAAGTTAATTAAAAATAATTGGAATAATGACTTCAGTGAATTATCAGGATATAAAATATGCCCACACAAATTATTAGCCTTTCTGTATATCTAGCCAGAAAGATAAAAAAATCATTCAAATTATATCTAGAATATTTTTAAAAATTATAATTTGGGTCAACCTACTACGGCTCATAAATCTCTCCCATGTGTTCCTTTCTCTCCTCTGATACTGCCAATACCGTTTAAGTTAACTTATTTATTTTGTGGTATACCAATCAAACTACCAAAGGATTATATTAATAAACTAGGGAAAAAATTCATCTGAAACACAAAAGGCCAAGAATCTCAATGGAAATAATGGGGGGGAAAAAGTGGACCAGAAGGAGTCTTAATAGTACTATTTAAAAAACTTTGTTCAGTAAGTAGGTAAGTATGTAGGAATGTAGAAAGATAAATAGATAGATAGATAGATAGATAGTGATTATCTGTTTACTTTCAAACCAAAGTTTTGCCCTCTGCAATCTCAGTATAGTGTTTCTAGTTCTAACCTTTGGGACCAACCAGAGCAATTCTAATCTTCTTCCATTTGATTATTTGGAATACTTCCAGTGAGATAGTTCATATTTTCTTCTATTGTTTCCTTCTTTTGATTTTGTTTTATTGTTTCTTGATGTCTCATGGAGTCATTAACTTCCACTTGCCCAATTCTAATTTTTAAGGAATCAGTTTCTTCAGTGAGCTTTTCTACCAATTTTTCCTTTCATCATTTCTACTTTTTAAGGAGTTCTTTTCTTCATTGAATTTTTGTATGTCTTTTTTCATTTGACCAATTCTGCTTTTTAAGGAATTTTTCTTTTTAGTGAATTTTTGTGCGTCTTTTACAATTGGTCCCATTCTATTTTTTAAGATTTTTAAAATTTTTTTTTTTTTGTGTGTGTGTGTGTCTCCTTTACCAAGCTGTTAACTCTTTTTTCATTATTTTCTTACATCACTCTAATTTCTTTTCCAAATTTATATTTGCTTCTCTTATTTGATTTTCAAAGTCTTTTTTCAGTTGTTCAGGAAGTCTTTGGGGCCTGAGACCAATTCATGATTTTCTTTCACACTTTGGGTCTAGCAGTTTGGATTTAATTGTCTTCTCCTAGGTTTGTGTTTTGATCTTCCCTGTCACCTGTAACTTTCTGTGGTCAGTTTTTTGTGTGTTTGTTTATATTGTTGTTGTTCATTTTTCTAGCCTATTTCTTGATTTTTAATTTTTTGTTAAATTTGGACTCTTTTTCTCTGTGGAGAGGAGCACTGTCCCAAGTTTCAGGTTTTTCATGCTATTGTTTTCAGAGCTAATTCTGGGGTCCTGTAAGTTTTGTTTCTACTAAGGTGGTATAATGTAAGGAGAGGTGTGGTCAGTGCCCTACTGGCCCGTGCTCTGGTCTGTGAGTGACCATAAGCACTCTTTTCTTCCCTGGACCTATAATCAGGATCCCCTCTCTCCAGTGGCTGCATGCTATAGTGTGCTAGTGCTCCTCCTCATCCTGGAACTCTGATCTGGGTCTGTGACCCAGATCCCTGTTTGGGCAATATAAGAAAGTCCTGCACCTAGTACTGGCAAAGGGTTCTCTGTAATCTCCTTCTAACTACTTGTCTGCTCCCCTTATGGTCTATAAACTATGAGCTCTGGAAGTCATTGCCGTTGATTCAGTCAGCCCTCCCAAGGCCTACTGCTGGCTGGCGTATAGCCTGCACTGGCCAGTTCCAGTCACTTCACTCTCCTGTTATCCCTCCTCTGAATGCTTTAGATGAAGCCCACAATACTCCAGATATGATATGACCAAGGCAGAGTACCGGGGTACTATGACCTCTCTTGTCTTGACAAGAGATGATGATATAGTCTAAGACTGTATGGTTCAGGTAAACTCTAGGGGAGAGTGTTCCTTCCTTATTCCAACATTCATTCATTCTGACTGACAAGTTGGAACCCTAGATCTAGGCTGTTAAGGGCAAACTTTTCCCTATTTTCTAGGGTTGCCCCTAAGATAGTTGGGGATATTTTTCTAATACATTTGGCTTGGGCCTCTATTCCACTGTATTTTTCTTGTGGTTGTCAGTTGATTATCAATTAGCTCCACTTAATTAGCTTTTAAAAAGATATATTTACTAAAGTGCTACAGTAAGAATAATTGGTATAAACATTAACCCCCAAATTCTATGACACACTGTCACCAGTACATTTTTACACTTAGTCTAAATTCTCTGATTGATTGGTTGATTTGATTGAATTATTGATACATGTTCTTACTGCATTAAGGTATCATTTATTTTAAATGGACTGGGGTGATTTGCTTGTTTTACTTAATCAAGCCAACCCTTTGAATTGAGTTGATATTTTGCTTGCTTACTCAATAGTAATAGTAATAATAATAGTAATGGTAGCTGAATTTATATAATGCTTACAATGTGCCAGGCATTGTGAGAAGCACTTTACAGTTATTATTTCATTTTATTCTCACAACCCAGGGAAGAAGGTATTATTAACCACATTTTACAGATGAGGGAGGACACATTTTACAGAAGTTTAGTGACTTGCCCAGGGTCATACAGCTACTAAGTATCCAATGCCAGAATTTAACTCAGACCTTCCTAATGCCAGGCCTGAGTTTCTATCCACTGTGCCAAATTTGTTCTTGATAATGTTCATGTGTTTTATTTACATAGTTACAGTGTCCAATATAAAATCTTAACATGGTTATTCTCTCTGCTACTGGAGATACTTCAAGGACTTTAAACTGTTGCAACTGTGGTATTGTGTTCCAACGACCATCAGCCCCTTACAAATAATGTAACCCTGGGCACGTTAAAGGATCACAGAATATTAGAACTGGAAGGGACTTTAGAGATGATCTAGTCAAGTTCCTCGATTTTGCAAATAAGTAAACTCAGGCCCAGAAGAGTTAACTGATTTATCCAAAGTTGTATATCTAGGAAGTATCAGCCTCAGGTCTTAGAATTCCAAGTCCGTTACTATTTCCACTATACTTGTCACTTATCTGCTCTGAGTTCATTTCTTCTCTTGTAAAGTGGGACTGATAGATGCTTCTAACAATACCTTTTTCACAGTATGATTGTGAGGAAAACACTTTGTAAATTGTAAAACAGTATGTAAATGTGAGCTTAAAGACTTATTCATTGTTAACCTAAACAGCATAAGTAGAAAATAAGTTTGCTTCCTCTCCTCCTCAAAATCATGATATATTCTAAAACAGTTAAAATTATTTTAATCACATAAGTCACTTTTCCACTATATTAGCACAAATAATATAAAATTGACTTCTTCCTCCAGTTAGTGTCATTATTCATATCTATTGATTATGTATATTTCAGAAAATGTGACACATCTTTTCTAATTATCTGCACATGCTTCTGTAGGAATGATGGATAACGGTGAATCGGTCTTAAGATTTTTTATGGAATTAAACATTGTCTTGAAAATAAATCTGTCACCTTCTAAAACTGGATTATTAGCTCACATTCTCCCAAGAAAATATTTGCAGAATAAGAAATTCATTTTTCCTCACCTAATCTGTTTACCCTAGAGAAGGCAATATCTGTTTGTAAGTTTGGTTCAAATTATAATTGTTTGTAATACATTTTATATTTTATTTGTTCCCATGTTTTTTTTATTGCTATAGGCTCTTGTTGGTGATAAGTCCCTGGCATTCAGGTTGATGGATGCAGAAATGTATACAAACATGAGTGTGCTGTCCCCTCTCACTCTAGTTATTGATCGTGGAATACAACTTCATAAAATGATTCGTCTCATTACTCATGCTCTTGGAGGAGAAGGCTATCTGAACTTTATGGGTAAGTGTGTCTTATCCATATTAAATATTAATTTCAGGTAAATAAAATGAAACATTTAATATGATTATGTTCTATTCAATATAACAAATCAGTATTTATATAAACCTTTTCAGAGTATCAAATTGGAAAATATGAAATTAAAATTCCATTTTTATAATTGCATATGGCATAATTTATGAAAGGAAAATAATACAAAAATATTGTTTTCCTTATAAAATATTTAAAGAAATTCTAAGGGACTACTTGCATTATTTTCTTGTCCTTGATCTTTGTTGTTATGACATTTTTGGAGTAGGTAGGTTGTCAATTACAAATCAAAATATTTTTGTAGTTTCAATAATATTCATTATAGGAGAATTTGCCACATGAAAAATATATAGAAATAAGTATTACAAAATTAATAATTTTCAGTTCTCTTAGAATTTATTACAGATTTAAGGTATAATTGACAAAGAACAGATCTTTCATAAAATATAAGTTTTCTTTTTTGGGGAAAAAGATAAAGTTTTTTGGGATAAAAAGATAATGAAACAAATTCATTTACTTTAGTGTCCTCATCGTGGTGAAAAATTGATCCAGAGAGGTTGAGTGATTTGTCCATGTAAACTGGTGATGAGTTATTTACTTAAAAAAGAGTAAAAAATGTTTGAGAAGTATATCAGTTAAAGTGACTCTTGTCAGAATAACTTTGTATGATAAAATTAAATGCACTTTATTTGAACTTCAAGTAATTTTTTTAGTTTTAGGGCCCTGAGAAAAAGAAATGGTTCAGTTGTACAGTTTTCTGATAAATAAAAGGGATTAGCATTAAACAAGATTCTTATATAAGGCTTTGAGAGAGGAACGGTCTTGTTTGTCTTAATATCCCCCGTAGCTCTCTAGCACCAGATCCTATACATAATAGACAATTGATAAATATTTTCTAAAAGGAATGAATGAATGAAGAATGCGTTATCTCTTTATTTCTTCCTAGGAAAGCCTCAGAGGTAAGCAAAGTCTTCTGGGCATGTTTTTAATTTAATAAGTTTTGTAAGAGAGCAAGTGCTTACACCTCTACCTAGTAATAAAAAAGATTTGTGTGAACTAAGCCTATTTAGTAGAAAATATGTATCTCTGGTGATCAATAAAAAGCAAAACAGTCAGTGGCCCTTATTGTGCCATATTCCAAACAACCTCCAAGTTTATCTCTTTTGTTTCATGTAAGACTCAAAATATTTCACTAACATTGAGTATTAAGAACTGTAATTATTACTGTTCTGGAAGACTCCAACAAATATACAAAATTGAACATATAAAAATTATGGCTCTAAATAATGTTAATTATTTCTGTAATCAATAAATAAAACCAGAAGTAAAAGATGTAGATCATTAAATCATTTTACAATTGTTACTGAGTTATTATTGATTTGCACTTAGGTTTGATTGCCTTTTGTATTTAATAGACTCATTACAGTCATATCTTAAAATATTGACATCCTAGATATTGTTCATATATCATTATTATGTAATTTATCTCCACCATCATCATAATTATGATCACTTTTCACCATGTAAATATGAGTCTCTTTATGTGTACATAATACACATAAATTAAATGAAAAAGTAAAACAAAAATCAATTCTCCACATTTATGATTCTCCATATATTTGGCATTTCATAGACAAAACTTCTATAAGTTCTTAATGCACCTTGAGACTGAGAATTTTGGGGTAAAATTTCATTTCTGTAGCCCAGGGTCATTTTTCCACTTCCATACATTATACTCAAGTTAAGATTGGTGCTGACAAATAGTTTGTTAAAATAGCAAAAACGGGGCGGGGGGGGCAGCTAGGTGGCGCAGTGGATAGAGCACTGGCCCTGAAGTCAGGAGGACCTGAGTTCAAATTTGGCCTCAGACCAAACACTTGACACTTACTAGCTGTGTGACCCTGGGCAAGTCACTTAACCCCCATTGCCTTAAAAAAATAGATAAATAAAATAAAATAGCAAAAATGATCCTACTACCCTCCAGCTTATGATGAGCTTGATGGAGTTGAGAAGTATATAATGAATGACTCATTTTACAGTGACCAAAGTGAATTTTCATTACTGATTTGTCACTTATTTATAGAATCTATCTTGTCTTTAAAATATGTCAGTTTAAAACCTTCTTGATGTTTTGACTTCTACAAGTAGGTAGGTTGAAATAGAACAGTTAAGAAGTATTTTTTTCCTCTTATCAAACCTAAATCTCCTTGTGAATCCCCTCACTGAAACTTCTAATATTTCTACTAGTTCTGCCTTCTGAGGCCAAGCAGAAAAAATATGATTCGATTCCTCTTTGAGGAAATACCCCTTCAAATATTTGAAGACTCTTATCATGTCCACACCTCCAGACTAAACATCCCCAGTTTTTCCATATCTTCCTCATACAAAGTAATCTCAATCCTCAGTATACTCATCTTCTTCTAGACATGCTCCCATTTATCTACATCATTCTTAAAATATAGCACCCATAATTGAACATAATAGTCTAGATGTGTTCTGACCAGGGCAAATTACAGCAGGATTATCACCTCTCTCACCTTCCCTGTGCTTCTCAAAGCAACTTAAGTTTGATTAGTCTCTTTTAGTTTTATTTTTTTAACATGTAAGATAAGGAAGTTTACTTAGCCATAGCACAACAAGATCATTTAGAGCAAGAAAGGGATAGATGTTCATTGAGGCTAATAATAACACCAATAATAATAGTAATAATAATAAAAAGTAGTAGTAGTATTAGGTAACATTTAGTGTAGCACTTACTTAGGTTCTAGGCACTGTTCTAAGTGCTTTACAATTACTATTTCACTTGATCCTCACAACATCCCTGGGAGGTAGCTGCTATATTATCCCCATTTACAGATGAGGAAATGGAGTAAAACTGGTTGAGTGACTTGGACCAAGGTCACACAGCTAAGTAAATGTCTGAGGCTGAATTTGAACTCAGTTTTTCCTGATTTCTGGCCTAGTACTCACTGTGCCACCTAGATTCTCAGGCTATTGTTGATTCTGAGCAACCTGAGTCTTAGTCCTTTGAGTCAATTAAATCTTGGGCAATTTTAATATCTTAATTTTTTTTAATAATGTTAAATTGATACCTTCTATTTCTTATATCATTATAGTCATTTCAATTATTCCACCCCCTTCCAAGGCCCAGTGCTGTATCCACTGAGCTACTCAGGTGCCTCCAGTAGAGAAATTATCAAGAAGCAAAAATGCCCGCAAATACTCTAGAGTTTTTTTTTTTAATTTACTGAAATAAATGAGCTAGCAAAAGTTCTTAAAATGAAAAAAAAATTCATGAATTGAAATATCAGGAAAGGAGCAATAACTAAAAGAAGCATTATTTAGCAAAGTTTTTTTTCCCCTCTTGACAAGTTATGTTTTCATATTCTTATTTTATATGTCATATTTCCTCTAAGGAACTCAAGATTCCTGACATGTTTTCTGCTTTATGCTAGTTGAGCTGTTCATTGCTGGCTAAAACTTTTGAAGTTCTCCTGAAACTGTGTGTATAAACAAAATAAATTATCCTACTTTTCTCTGACCTAATTTAATATCATCAGAATTTTCTGATCTTTTCTAAAGTTACTGTGAAATTAAAATTTAATAAATACCATTCTATATTTTATATAACTATCAACTTTTAGATTCAGGTTATGAGTTCTGCCTTCTTCCTTGGGAAATAATAGCACTCAATACCCCAAGAATCTGTATCTATCTTTTCATCAGTGTGAGTAGTCATTCCCCTTCTTGATTTTTCTCCTGCATTTATCAAAGACTGAGTATAGAGAGAGAAAAGAAGAGGAGTCCAGAGCTTTGGAGATGGTAAATGGGCAAAGGGGGAATAAGGACACAGATGATGATGCAGCAAGAGACTGTAAAGGAGTAGTAAGATATGTAAGAAGAAAACAAAGGGAGTGGAATGTCATGAAAAGCTGGAGAGGAGAAAATATCAAGAAGGGAAGGGTATTATATAGAGTCAAAGGCTAGCTACTCTAGAGAGATTAAGAAGAGGAATATACTTCCTTTTTATCTCTACCACTTAGAATACCTAATTTTTGTTCTTTTAGCTGCTGGGCCTAAAAAAAATTACCTTGTATATGCTTTATATATGTTGTGTGTGTGTGTGTGTGTGTGTGTGTGTCTGTCTGTGTCTATATATTTCCCCTAATAAAATGTAAGCTCCTTAAGGGAAGTGATTATTTCATTTTTGCCACTGCATCGTCAGTACTTACCTCAATGGCTGGCATACACTAGATGCTTAATGAATACATGTTTATTTATTGTTGAAACAACTTAAGTTTTTTATAAAAAGCATGTATTGCTTTTTTATATACAGTGGAAATAAAGACAGGCAGGAAAGCATAAACCCAAAAACATGACATCTTCTTGAAGAACAGTGTAAGAAGCAATAGTTAGAGTGGCTGTGTGAATAGAAAGAAGTGTATCCTTTTTCACTCCCAGGATATTGGTCACATTCCAAGATCTTTTCATTCTTGGTCCTGTGGAAAGGGGTCCTTTCAGGAGTTTTTGAATGCTTTATGATTTAGGGATTCTTTGAGTAATGGCAAAAAGAACATTAAACAAAAAGAATAATATAAGCAAGAAACTTTACAATGAACTTTTTGCATCAATATGAGAAATGGTTAAATTGTGAAGCTTTTCAGCTTCTTTCCCTAATCTCAGTTTTGTCTGTATTCAAACCATACAGTTGATAATAAGGGACAAACTACTTTGGTTTGCACAATGTGGGTCATCTGGTGTGTGTGTGTTTGTAGTTTGTTTTGTGGCATTTTTATTTAGGAGTTTTATTACCATTCTATTATTGTTGGCTTGAGTAATGAGTGATACTTGCAGAGAGAGCTATAATTACAAACTAGCAAATTTCTGTCTCAGCAGTATTTTGAAATTTCCGTGACTAAAATTAAAGCTTCTCTCAATATAATGTTACATTCTGAGTTTTGTAGGCTTAATAG